CAAAAGATTCTAAAAGCGATTTATAATCATTAAAGGCACCGATATACTTCACACAAAATCAAAGAACAAATCGGTGTGACATCATTTTGAACAAAATCAGGTTTTGAAACCGCTTACCAAAGCAAATTGCTAGAAAAATTTGCTTTGGCTATCTATCATTGATTAGAGGTGATTATGCAACAGATTGGTGTGCTCTGGGGCTCTGCCTTCTTTGACAATAAAATCTTCTCACATCTGTGAGTAAAAACATGAACACACAGGAAAGATGCCTTATAGTAGAAACTGAAGTAGTAATTCCTATTGAAAGCGGCACTGACACTGTTTTTATGTTTCAATTCTGCAAAGCCGCTTGATTTTAAAACAATCTATTGTATGAAGTGCTATATAAATAAACTTGACTTGACTTGACTAGAGCACCAAATTACAGAGCTGGTGCAAACATATGCATGTCGCTATGATCAGAGGCTTTCGTAATGTCTGTTTCCTCACCACAGTCATTTTTGTTGTTTTTTTAGTTTGTTATTGAGAGGAAAGTGCACAGCACATATTTACATATTCATCTAAGCGTCACTCTTTGCAACATGGGCGGCATCAGCATTTTCACTAACAGTATAACGCTGCAAAGGTATTCAAACTTCTTTTTTCCCCTAAGCAAAGAACTTCACCATGAGTATATAAAGGCCGTAAGCGTGTGCATCCAAACCACTATGGCTGATTATCTTTGGTACTTACCCACAATTATATGGTGATGAACCAAGAAACGTTAATTGCAATGAACAATTGTGAAAAACTGTGTATGAATATGTCAAAAGGAGTTTTTTGATTCTTGATATAATTCAAACATCCAAGGGTTAAAAAATATTATTTTTAAAGACAAATCCAATACACTGATAAAAGTAAATGTCTCACCCTTTTTCTTCTTCTTCGCTGGGCGACCCCTTTTGTTCTTCTTGACCCGTCCCGAGCTGTCAGAGCGGACTGAAGAACTGTGAACGCTAGAGTTTTCCTGCTCAGAATCATCCTCATCCACCTCCTCACTCTGCATTACAACCACACACGATCAAACACAACCAATGCACCCAACACACATTTATGTGCACACATATTACACACAAACTCTCACCGAACTACTCTTCTTCCTCTTGTTACCAAGCGCTCCCAGTTTAATGCGCAGAGGAGCCATTTTCTTGGGTTTTGGCTTCTTCTTATCTGAGACACGAGGACTCTTACTACGTTTCTTGTAGCCAGCGCCTGTGGATAATCAATAAATAGGGAATATTAAAATGAAACAGTATTTTGTCTAGATGTATTCAAAATAAAACACTAAAAAAACTAAAATCAGTTGTTTAAAGTGCTTTTAGGTGAATTTAGGCATCAGAAAATTATGAATATACATTTTGAGATTTGTATAAAATTACATTTTAAAAACGTTATTAAATCAGTGTTTTAAATATTAACTTTAAATGAGTACAAAGGCAACCTTAATGTAAAAATATGGGATAGGAGCATGCAGGGCTCAACTCTAAAGGCCGGGACACACCAAGCCGACTTCAAAGAACTAGCGGCGATGAAAGCCGACGGTGTTGTATATTCGAATATATGTATATATATTCGTCATTCAAAAGGAGAAACCGAAACAAAGATATATGAGATAAACGCAGATATTGCGGCTTGGTGTGTCCCGGCCTTAAGGATTTCTTTCTACTGGCCCGGATGGGAGAATGGTTCAAATTTTTACTTGCCCTGGCAAAATATTCACTGGCACTTCCACAAAGAAACTAACTAAATAATATAGTTATTGATTTTGAGCAATGTAATTGTGTTGTAATAAGCTTATTACACCCAAATTTTAGGTACACTTTTCAGGAATTTTGAATTTTTTTTTAAGAAAACAAGAATTCTGTATGTGGCTTTATCAGATTTCATAAAGTTCACATTTCTGTTTTCCAAATGTATGCAAATGTAAGCATATTTAATTAGGTAGTGCATATTTAATTGACTTGTAATACAAAACAATTGTCTTAATGTTCTGTGATTAATCAACTGGGTTTATGTATGGTGATATCTATTGGTTAATTTTTTTTCCCCTTTATCATATGTAGTGTATTAAAAAAAACTATCAAATCTACCATCAGTTGCCATCTATCTTACAAAAACACATTTTTGATGCTGTGTGTGATATTTCAGTTTTTCTTTTTTAATAAATCTGCAAAATCAACAATTATATATATATATGTCAACAATTCTGTGTTTTTCTGTCAATATGGGGTGCTGTGTGTATATTAATGAGGAAAAAAATTAACTTAAATGATTTTAGCAAATGGCTGCAATATAACAGAGTGAATTTAAGGGGGTCTGAATACTTTCCGTACCCACTGTATATTCGTCATTCAAAAGGAGAAACCGAAACAAAGATATACGAGATAAACGCAGATATTGCGGCTTGGTGTGTCCCGGCCTTAAGGATTTCTTTCTACTGGCCCGGATGGGAGAATGGTTCAAATTTTTACTTGCCCTGGCAAAATATTCACTCGCACTTCCACAAAGAAACTAACTAAATAATATAGTTATTGATTTTGTTGATTTTGAGCCATGTAATTTAGTGTTGTAATAAGCTTACTACACCCAAATTTTAGGTACACTTTTCAGGAATTTTGAATTTTTTTTTGAGAAAACAAGAATTCTGTATGTGGCTTTATCAGATTTCATAAAGTTCACATTTCTGTTTTCGAACTGTATGCAAATGTGTGCATATTTAATTAGGTAGTACATATTTAATTGACTTGTAATACAAAACAATTGTCTTAATGTTCTGTGATTAATCAACTGGGTTTATGTATGGTGATATCTATTAGTTAATTTTTTTTCCCCTTTATCATATGTAGTGTATTTAAAAAACACTATCAAATCTACCATCAGTTGCCATCTATCTTACAAAAACACACATTTTTGATGCTGTGTATTTTTATCAGCTGTTTGGACTCTCATTCTGACAGCACCCATTCACTGCAGAGCATCCATTGGTGAGTAAGTGATGTAAAGCTGAATTTCAAGTCAATTTTCAGCAAATATTTGGGTGAACTATTCCTACACTTAATAAAGTTACCTACACATTAACTCATATATAAGATTAACATATCATTTTTATGAAATTACTTATTAACTTAAAAATATTAATTTGCATGAAGAGATAAAAATGTGTGTTTCACTCATTTTCCTGACGTGCTGAAATTAGAGAGCTGTATATCTCATTTCTATTCGCCTTCAGCGTTCTTTATAGCATTTGCGGTACATTCGTAAGACAGATGTAAGTGCTGTTATGTACTGAAGCTTTGGAAACAAAACCAACGGTTCAAAAACATAAATATAAAAGTGAAGAGAGCAATGTGAAACATTTTGCTGCCTTCTACTGCGCCATCGTTACCAAAGACTATAGAATATACGCAAGAAGTGTCACTCGTATAGTTTTGAACGGGGAAAAATGCAACGTTCAATATGACCTCTCTATCTAAGGAAGCCCCGCCTTCTGAATAAAAGAGCCAATCGCTAATCTGTAAATTAGCGTAAAAGTCCCGGTTGCTATTGAAACAGTCAGTGTTCTGACACACACACTTAGGACAGCACATGTGCACTGGCTGGTCTAGCCCGAAAAATACGCTTTTTTTAACACTATTTGAGCAAAAGAAACAACATTTATGAGGCAGTTGTTGTCAGATTTCATTGATGATTTCAAATATGAAATTTAATCGTAAGCTTGGTGAACAGTTTTGGAGAATTTGCTGTTTCCCCATTCAAAGAGATAGGAGCTGCACTTGCATGCCCGAGAGGCGACAAAGGGACTTTGTCATTACTAAGCAAAAGGGTAAACAGCTGCTGGCTTGATGACACAAATGAACCGCAGTTCGGACCCAAATAAAATAATATGAACACATTCCAGCGGGGGCAGGAGGAGGGGGGAGCAATCAAAGTCGGGTTCGGATCATGCAATCGAACCAAGAGTGAAAGCACCCTTATGCCGAGTTCACACTGCATGATTTTCAAACTCGTCAGATCGCCCATTGTTTTCACACTGCGTGACTATCTGGGGTAGCATTCAGTTGCTGCTGTGTTCACATTGCACGATGGATCGGCGACAGGAGATTTTACACTGCATGACTTCACTGTCAGGAAGAATCGCCGACAGCTCTGTCTGGTCCGCAAACTACATTTCACAACAAAACACACACGAGAAGAGATAAGGAAATAACGCAAGAACCCGCGTGCGTCAGACCGGAGTTCTCCAGCGAGACTGGAATTAACAATTGGTGGCTGACTAAATACTTTTTTTTTTTTCTCCACTGTATATAGTCTGCAAATTGTGTGAGCTGATTTCCAGCTACAAGGATAAAAAGAAAAACAGATTATGCAGGAGGGAGATGCAGGGAACAGGGATTGGGTGTTCTGCAAAGAGAGTTTGAGGTAAATAATTTTGCAGTAACTGTTTTGCTTGACCAGCCACAACATCAGCATATGTTTGTGCTTGTTTCTGTATGATATAATTGTTCATATAGCTATTAAAATACTGATATTCTGGTCTATAACTCCTCCCCGAACTTCCCTCTGCCCTGTATCTTGGTCTCTCATTGGCTGCAGGTAATCGCCGATGTAGTTTTCAGTCAGAAATCATTGCACACAGCGTGATTGTGAATCGCGACAGCTCCAGATATTTAGCATGCCAAATATTTCGCAGGCGTCGGCGATTCCCTCAGATCGCGTCTTTGATCATTCACACTGCGTGATTGTCACTCGCATGAACGAGCACCGATTTGCCTCCGATTTCGGGCATTTGTCGGCCATTTTGCAAAACCTGTCGGCGAGTGAAATATCGGGCTAAAACCGTGCAGTGTGAACTCGGCATTAGAAACACGTGCAAATGATCAACTGTTTCACCCCTACAAGCGAGTGAACAATGTGAATCAAGGAAGGGATTTTATTTCACTATATTTCAAGATAGCAAGATTTATTTCAAGATAAATGGCGGTGATGCACTTTGGTAGTCCGACTGGAAAACACAATAGCCCCAGGATGTCAGGCTAGTGATTTTGTGAGCCCTGAAGCACACAACCTGTATCAGCAAAGTTTATGGGAAATAGCATGCAGCTCCGCAGGCAGAGCAAGAAGAGGCATAGACAGTGCTAAAGGATAACCTTTGTGGTCTCTTCATGTGTGCTGTCTTCATCGTCTTTTTTCTTTTTCTTGGTTTTCTTCTCTTTTTTGTCCTTGTGTTTCTTCTTCTTTTTCTTCTCTCCTCCATAATCGCTGGCAGCACTGTCAGAGTTCATGGCATAGTCTGGCTCTGAGTCTCTCTCTACGTCACTGTCCTGCAAAAGACAGAGAAAGTCAAATCAAGCTTAAGAACAAATAGTTAGAGCTGTCACTATAATGCATTCACTTAAACAAAAAAAAGAACTATAAAAATAATAATAATTAGTGCAATTATCTTAATAATTATCTCCATTCAAGGGGCTCTTTTCAGAAAATATTGATGCATGTGACTAATTGCAATTCAATTTGTAATTTGATTAATAGTCAATTGACGGTTTGCAAATTGCTATTAAATAAAAGTGTAATGAAAAAGATGCATTTGAACATTAAGATAGAAAACATCAATGACATACTATTTTTTTGCGCTTGCGTGCTTTGGCCATCTTCCCCTCCTTGTCCTTGTCCTTCTTTTTTGTCTCTTTCTTTTTCTTAGGGCCTCGTTTCTTTTTCCCCAGGTTGTCCCTGTCCGATGTCTCACCAATGTCATCGCCATCATCTAAATGAGAGAGATGCAAGGAAATGAGGGAACATGGGAGGGCTGATGAAATGAAAGTGACCATAATTCTTCATAAACCCTCTGCGGTATCCTTCAAATCATTTCCCACTTCAATTATTGAACAACACGAGCGGTGCAGAAACCGGGACTGTCACACAGGAAATATAAGTCATTCCACTTCTGACTTGAACTAAGCTGTAGGACTTAATGAATTAATCTCACAAACATGATTATCTACATGACCTAATTACGACTCTCCAAAAGCTATTTATGGAGTGAATTTTAAGATGATGATCAATATTGTATGCAGCACTCCATAACACGAGTATTTCAGGTCACTGTGTGAATAGATGAAATTACTTTAAGTAATTTAAATAAAAGTCAAATATATAAGGAATCCTTAAGTGAATAAGCAACACAATTTTCTTTCACAAAATGTTGAAAATAATGTTTCTTTAATCATGCAATCAATCAAAATCCGGTGTCAGGTCACCTAAAAATATGCTAAAAACTGTTCATATTATATATTCCAAATAAGGTGCCTGCATTATGACAAGTTTGACATGCTTCCATAAAAGGCGCTTTGACACAGACATCATCTTCCAGAGGGGCAAAGTGGAGTTAAACAGCTCTAGTCTAGTCGTGACTACAGCCATGTAAAATCGTTCAGAAGAAACCAAACCAATCTGGTCTTTCATTTCAAGCAAACAGCTGTGTAGAAGCCCGTTTAAATTCAAAAGTGCATTTGGTCATAATATTACCACGTCCAGAATATAATTTCATATGACTACATCAGCCTGACTACATTAGTTTACACCAAAGAAAGACATTTTAAAGGCAGATAAGATAGAAATACCTCCCTCCTCACGGTAACAAGTACATCTAACTTTCTACACGGTTTCATTCATCCTGATACAGCTTGTTTGTATGAATGCAGACATATCAGCATATCATGTCTGATAACGCAGAACTATCGCCATTGCGCTAACGAGTTAGATTCGATTGTGTCTTTGTTGCTGGGGCGCGCGGGCAGAGCCCTTTTCCCCCGCGCGCTGCAGCCAGGGGCGGCAGTAGCACGCACTCGGGGCTCGGTGACTGAGAGGCCGCGAACTGAGCTGATGCTCCCCTCGTCGTGAACTCCTGCACCTGGGGAGCAGACCACCAGATGAACCGCAGCTGAAGGTCGCGGGGGCGAGACAGGACGCGCGTGCTAACTGATTCACGCGCCCTGTGGGAATGCGCGTGGCAGCGGTTACGCACTAAGCAAGGCCCCAAATATGACCACAAACATCAGCACAGTCGCATAGTGTGGCATTAAAAGTTAGAGTTAAGTAAATAAGTTGTTTTTAAAACGAATTTCTCAATAATATGACAGAGCATCAGCTTAAGGAACATGTTTATAACTAAGCTTTGTGCACTCTTAAGACGGAGTGTGGCACATTAATCGACTGAATAGTGGAAACTTTGGACTCATCACTATCTGTTGATGTCAAGCCATAAATATGCATAACAGTTTAACGCTTTATTGACACAGTCACACACTCAAAACAGCCCGAGGGCTGGTGACTGTACAAATTGGCATTTTGCAAAGTGAAAGCAGCGCAGCGCAGATCTCTGCCCTGTAACGTACTGAACCAGGCGGCAGTGGGTCGGGTCAAGTTTATTTACATTGTCACAATCAAAGCGGTAGTCCTGACGCTCACGCCTCTTTCCGACCCGCATTTAGATCGATGCATTGTCATATTCTTCTTTATCTGCTTAAACGCTGTAACTTAACCTTCAGGGCAAACAAAAAACGACATGGTGGCGGCTTAATGATCCATTGTCGGATCACAGCTGGAGATGAAAAAGCACCATTATATGACAGACCTGCTGAATGACACAGACGGGACAGAGAGAGGGGGGATCGGTCAACTTTAGCCAAACTCTATGCAACTCTTTGCTGAAATGCACGCGGATAAATAAAGCGTACACAACGCCTAACCGCTTTAGAGGAGCCAGAATGAAGTATGCAGTAGCGCAGCTGTCGCTATCGCAGTTTTAGGACCATTCGCGGTTGTTTCGAAGTGTTTTTGTACCCCACGGACTGTACGGTACCTGGCGCGGCTCTTGCTGCAGTTTCTCTAGGCGCCGCCGGTGAGTTTATGTCGCTTGCGTTCTCGTCCAGGTCTCCGTCGTCTTCTTCTTCTTCATCAAGATCTCCTCCCTCGGAATTAACCGCCGTGCCCTCATCTTCCTCACAAGAACGGAGAAGAGAGGACATTATATTCCCGTCGGTGACCCCGTTCCGCGAGATCCAAAAGTGTATTCCTTCCGAATTATGATATTTATTTAATATTCAAATCGACACACAAAAAGTGGGGGCGTTTTGGAATATTTTACACTACAAGGCAGAGAAACAAAGATGGCCGCCCTTATATTTATTTTTTAACAACCCCCCCTCCTTACCCCCCCAATAAAAAAATCCCCTTACATAAAAATGGCTGACTATATTATTTCAGAACGTCCCCCCTCCTCCTCCTCCTTTCTCTCTCTCTCTCTCTCTCTCTCTCCAGTCTCCCCTCCCTCCTTAAAATAATCACATTGTTACTGGAGGGGGGCAACTTGTATTTCAACTCGCTTTATTGTGTGAGCTTTCGCTCTCACTGCTTCGGACTTGCTTGGTAACTGTCTTTTTCCAAAAGCGCACGTAGTAATCGAACAAACATGGCCACCTTAATATTCTTTTAAGGCCCCCACCTTTTTAAAAAGAAATAGTGGAGCGACGGGGCTGATGTGAGGTTGGCTGGAGGGGAGAGCGCTGCCGCAGCCATGCCCACACTTACATCATGTTGCACTGCTTAAACATTAACTATTTGAGGTCAGGACAAAACAAAGCAAGTTATCTGAGCCGCCCAGAATAGATTAAATCATTAGGAAAAGGAAATGAAATAGATAATTTTACATTATTAGCTGCTGAATTACAATAATATTTTGTAAATACACATATTGCATTGTGAAGTTCGGGATTTCATATTTGCATGCCACTAGCAAAACTTTAATGTAAGTGGAACTGATGCCAATAAGCTTGATCTATTTCTTCCTGCTTTAAATACACATTTTCTTATGTAGTCTAATTTAGTTTTTTAATGTTTGGTTGGTATATATTAGATCAGCAGTTCTCAACCTTTCTGACTCTGAGGCCCACCATTGTCAAAGAAAATATTTGAAGGCCCCCCCAAAATATTTCTGGTTCTTCTGCTGCTTATTTAAATTTTTCACTTTTTTTTTTAACAGAAATTAGAAGTTGCAATAAAAATGAATTTTCTTAAATATAGATTTAAATATTCTAAATTGAATTTATAATAGCAACATTTACTTAAAAGTCAAATAAAATATTTAATAATTAATATAATAAAATTCTGTGATTACAGATGCAGTTTAATAATGGAATGTTTATTAGGATTTACATTATTATTAATGAATTTACATGATTTTTTTACAGTGATTTATCAATAGTTTCTACCCAATAAAATATTTTGAGCTTGACAACTAGAAAAATGTATATTTGTTTTAGAAATGTCCATGACTTTTCCAGGTCTTGAAATCACACATTCATCATAAATCCAAGTTTTCCAAGATTGTAGAAAAAGGTGTCGAGGGAATGAATTAAAATGAGAAATATGAGCATTTCTATTTTTAAAAATGCTGTTTAAAGCATATTTTAAATCATTTTAAGCAATCTCAAGGCCCCTCAGGATGAGAACTACTGTTCTAGATGTTCTTTCCTTAAGCAAAAAAACTAAACAAAAACATTCCCAAAAATTTCCTTAGACCAAGTAAACAATGCACAGGCAAATTAAACTGCTTACCAAAAAGATGCACGTTTGCAGATGTTAATGGCATAGTCTCATAAAGCAGTGATGAAATTGAAATGTTGGCTGCATGAAATCATTTCTGTGTACATGCATACATATATAATGCTATTTAATTAGGGTTGAGAGCCTGCTGGGGCCTACAATACAGTAGCTGCTGCATTTCCTCCGAGCAATTACCATGGCAACCACCAGACTTTATGGTTCAGGGGGTTATTATGTAGGCTGGCATTCATCTTTTTTATTCTGTTGCTCAGCATTTGATTGGATGAAGCCCAGAGAGCTGCAAAAAGATAACCACAGACAGGAATCGATGAAACACTGAACACATGAATAGTTGATGTGGTGTATTCTTCTCGCTCAAAATGGCTTGCAGTGGATATTCTAATGAATTATATGCCATTGTTCATATTAATAGCATGCGTTTTTTAGAGTTCAGTGAGGTCGTCGTTGAAATACAGACATATGGATGGAGAGAAGAGGTCACACTCTGGGCTTCCGCAGTAAAACTCATCCTCTTCAGGGATGCTGTTTTCACTCAGGGTCTTGCTCATGTCCAAATTTACGCCATTGTGCTTCCAGGTGTAGCTTGCTGCATGGGAATTGTAGCACAGGTATCGCTGGAGAATCTCTTCCAGAGTCTCCTCCGAGCAAACCTGCTAAGAAAACAACAGCTTAGAACTATTTGTCTGCTAAAAAGTGCTCCAAATACATGTTTATTTTGTGAATGCACATAAAAAGTCCTACAGAAAGACACAGGGCTGGCCCGTAGAAAGGAGAGAAAGAAGTATCTGGGCTGAATGAAAACTGCCAGATGGTTATTGAGCCCAGAGTTTAAGATGCAGCCTGGTGGCCGCTGAAGCAAGTGAATCAGCACGGTCAGTTTGAAAATGCTTGTAATGCCAGAGGCTCAACATTAGGTCCATTTCCTTCAAGCTGGAAAAGGATCAGATGCAAAGAGTGGGAGGGAGGACAAAATCAAAAGATGGAGAGGAGCTACAAAGCATTGAAACAGTTCAATTCTGCCCTCTTCAGTATGCAGCGGCGCAGTGCAAGCATGCAATCCGACATAAGGAATGTGCTCCTTGCAGGCATTTTATCTCAGGAAGGCTTAAATAATTAATAAGCACTTTTTGGGGCACAATCCTGAAATCATTTTGCAGATGAGTCAGCATGTTCTGCTCTCTACAACTCTGTGCCAGGTTAATATTGGCCTACCTCCAGCCTCTGCTCTTGGGAGGTTAAAGTGTTGATAATGCGGATCCAGCGTGTTTTGGCAGACAGCAGCCCAACCTCGTAGCGGTTATCCTTCCACCACGGCTTCCCGAAATCATTGGCCCAGTCAGTGCGAGGGCAGGGAGGGGGTATGTGTAAAAAGCGCCCCCTAGGGGTGTAGTATTTAATGCAGCCAGTCAACGGGTCAACATGTGTAAGAATCTAAAAAGGAAAAACACAACACTGTGAATCAACAAAAATATCAGCCCCATAATCATGTAAAAACATGTTTGGTCATTCAGAAGATTGTCGGCATGAAATGAAAATTTTCTTTTCTTCCCTTACCATGACATATCTAAGTAAAACGGCTTCTCAAATGAGAAAATAATGTAGGGCGGGACTTGATTTTGTTCTTTGGGAATTGACCGGATCTTTGTCATTTGCTAATTGCCACATTTCCACATTATCAACATCTCATGTGTGAGTAACAAGTTGCTGGCCCACACCTTACTAGAGAAGAGATCATTGCAAAAAGAGGGAAATATTAATGTTTTTTTATTATTTATTATTATTTTGTATTATTATTATTATTAAAGATTACAAGGGCACATTAATTAAAAATAATGATGTGCATGGAAAAGACGTTTATAATAAATACTGCAATTTTCCATAAAAATGGTCAGTTTTGATTTCATGGTGACTTTAACAAAACAACTAGATACAAATTTAATTTTGTATTTTTTGCCAAAAAAAAAAGTAGTAGCCTAGTTTGATTATATGGTTATTCTCGGAGTAGGGAAAAACATACGTTTTTGAAATGGAGAAATAGTTTTCAAAAATATACAGTGTTGGGGGTAACGCATTACAAGTAATGCGAGTTATGTAATCAGATTACTTTTTTCAAGTAACTAGTAAAGTAACGCATTACTTTTTTAATTTACAAGAGAATATCTGAGTTACTTTTCATATAAGTAATGCAAGTTACTTTTTTTTCCAATTTATTGATTGACCGCTCTCCTGTCCCCATGTTGAGAGAAATCAGATGTTACTGTAGTTCTAAAATAAATATGAATATGCATTAATTAATCTCACTCACACACAAAAAAAACACAGATTCAATGTCAAAAACCAATTCAAAAAATAATGCAACTCAGAATATGACGTAAACCTGCAATAATTAAATGTTAAACAACACAAATATGCTTTATGTATTTAATCCCATTCTATTAACCAATGTCTTTGCTTCTGATCTTCGATGATCCAGTTCAACCGTACTAACAAGCACAAATTACTCTAGACAAACATTTGTGTGTCTTTTTTTATTGCTGAAGTGTGTTGAAATTTCTTTCAACGTAAATTTACTTTCCCTTCAGCCTGAGGCTTATTCATTTCACTTTTGGTGTGGACAAGGCTTTTATATTTGCCAAAAATATAATTTTTTTTATTTTAAAAACAAACAAGCAAGCCCTGTCCAGATTTAAAAAGTAACGCATTACTTTCCATAAAAAGTAACTAAGTAACGTAATTAGTTACTTTTTTTATAGAGTAACGCAACATTGTAATGCATTACTTTTAAAAGTAACTTTCCCCAACACTGAAAATATATATATTTTAGTTTCGGTTCTTATCTTTGAAATGATCATTAAAAGTATGAAAGAATATTTGAAAGAAAAAAAACAACACTAAAAAGCAAATACTATATTTTTACAAAAAAAAAAAAAGAAGGTTCTTTGTGTGTGCCCTGCAGGAGTTTTTCCTGTATAGTCCTTGGTTTTGTTCAATTACATAAAAATATTAAAATATACTTTCAACAAGTTTTGCGAATGTTATACAGTGGCTTACATCCTTTGTCTTTGGGTCAAACCAGTGACTGATGTCCTTTCCTGCACACTCTGCGATAGGTTTCAATAACACATCACCTATAAGAGAGAGATACTGCTTTTAATAAACAGTTAATACATACTACATTGCAAAAGTTTATAATACGTGCAAGTTACTTGCCTTTATTTTCCTCCAGCAGCGGTGTCAGATCATAGACTTTGCCCAGGTACGACGCCCATATATCTTTGAGAGTGTTGTGAACGGACACCTCCTTCGGCGTGAAATACTTGGGGCGCCGCATTTTAACAAAACTCCTATTTTGGAGAAATAAAACTGTTTTCACGATTTAAAGAGCATTCAGTCACTGTAGAAGTTGGTTGTTGTTACTTGCGAGGCGCGCACAAGCTCACTGGTTGCTGTGGTAACCGAAGCACAGGGAGAGGAAGGCGCAACCTACGGAAGCCCTGAAAAAAGTAGCGCTATATTTTTCTTCCATAATACGTTTGGTAAAACTTCACAATTAGACCACGTTAGTTCATGTA